CAGCTTAAAGGTTAAGGGCTTGATTTGAGTTTCGGGGTTAAAATTAGAGGTAGATCTGGGTAAATTCAGAGAGGGGCTGGCATCAGAGGTTGGAGAAGGACTGTAGTCAATGGAAGATCCTCATAAGTATAGCTAAAGTAGCAGAAACACAGACACTGATTAAGTATGCAACTCTAAGTAGGTGTGTGAGAGGGATCAACTGTCAGGTACAAATTGTTTACTGATGCAGAATCAGCGAGTCAGTGTGAACGATCCATATGTGTAATCTGCACATCACATGTTGCACAGCCCCTCACCTCTCCTCATTTAATCCCCCCCCCCCCCGCGTGTCTCTGTTGTAGGAAGATACAAGCAAGTGTGTGTGTGTGAGTGTGAGTGTGAGTGTGTGAGAGGAGGAGGAAGCTCACAGGGACAGACAGATGCTGAAGGATAAAGATGTGCAGCTGAGATCTATCAACTGCAAGGCAGGCGAGGGTGCATGCTCTGACACCAACCCACATCCTCATGCACACACACACACACACACACACACACACGCACGCACGCACATTTCTGTACCACCCTCGATGTGAATTTCATTCCCATCAGGGAGCATGTTTTCCTGTCTGAGGTCTTTGTATTGCCTCCACTGTGGGCGTCTGTGCTGGTTTGTGAGTTTGTGCGTGTCTATTGTTAACCTTAACCCTTATGCTACATGCATAATGTTAACCATGCACTTACTGTAATTGCTTATGCTTGCATATATACATGTAGTGTGAAAGTGATGCATGCATGCTTAATTTTGTGTAAATGTGTGTATGCATGTGTGTGTGGTGAAGTCTGGCAGCTGGAGCAGACTGTAGTTAGATTCACCAGGGAGAGGATGCGGTTATGAAGAAGAGTTGAAGGTCGGTGCAGTAAATGAGGTCAGCGTGAATAAATGAGCACTAATAAACAGGCACACCAGCAGCGATACATCTTCAAATTCCTTCCTTTCCACTCATGCATCATTCCAGAAAGTGTATTCATTTGTTCAGGTCTATGGCAGATCTGATGTAGGTGGTATCTTAAAGCTCTGCAGTTTTTAAAAACTGAGTCATCGTCAACGCACACACAAACGCAGCGAGAGCCACAAACCAGCCAGTTTTCCCACACAGATAGATTCCCAGACAGAGCAGAAGGTTTGTTTTTCATGCCAGCTCCACCTCTGAACTGCTGTTGTCTCTAAACCAGTCTGCCTTCCTCCACTACATTTAGCTCTGTCATCTGCCCTGCCAAGGTTTCCAGAGGTCAGTGCAACAGAACCAGCTCCATCTCTGCTGTCTTTTTCTTTTTTTCCTTCTCTCTCTCTCTCTCTCTCTCTCTCTCTCTCTCTCTGCCCAGCTCTATAAAATCTCCCTGCTCTATTTGTTTCTTGTTTGGATCTTATAACCTGCAATTACAATTCGTGTTGAAAGCATGCTGTAATTTTGCAACGCAGAGGAAATGTCTGAGTTTTTCTCTTACTTGCAGACTATCTTTCAGCCTGCACACCCTGGTTTTAACCCCTGTAAGATCACTCATCTGCTCTGCTGAGGTGCTCTTCTTGAGCAAGACACTGAATCCTTGCCAGCTTCAGGTCTGCTCTTCCTGTAGACATGACTCTCCTATAATTTTTTATCCTCCCTCCCTGAGCTCCCCTCTATCTCTGTCTCACTTTCATTTATTTCTTTTCTCTCCCTGGCTGTGCAGGAACAGCGGGAGGTGTTTCTGGTGCATCAGGTTTTTCCTCCCTCTGTTGTTTTTAAGTGAAATATTTTCAGTGAAAAGTATTAGAGCTCTCTTCCCCTTTGTTTGTTTCTCTCTGTATATATCCGTAGCTGTGTACAGTTTGGAGAGCTGATTGATTGCTTTACTAAAGTTTTGCAGGCAGTTGTGGAAGTCATGGAAGAACCAAGGTCTTTGCACAGAATGGATTTCTTTGATGGAAATGTCACGCAAGCACTATTTGGACAGTGAAATCACAAAAGTATCAGTTTATGTAAGTAAAAGCATTTTGTAGTCAATTGGACTTTTTTGAAAGGAAATGAAATCCCGGACTCTCTCTTATGTTGGGTATACACTACGATTTTGGGCTGTCCCAGGTATACTATATATATAGTATAGCATCACAGATGGATGAAGCACGCTGATGACGTTTTGATTCTTGTATAATGACTTGCGTTGTACCCTATGATTCAGCAGGTGTTATCATCGTACAGTCTACATACTTGACGTACTTGACCAACTTCATATCGTATCCAAGTTTTTTGGATCCATGACGCATAGTGTGGCTTGTAATAACCTTCTAGGACTGCTGACGTCTCTTGTCATCATGAAGAAAGTTTCAGTCCAAGATAACCCTGATGACATCACTGTGACATCATCAGGGTTTTGTTATTTTGAAAGCTTCCTCAAGAGCTACAAAAGACATTACATAACTGTTTCTACAGGCTGAGTATAGTACTCAGTGAGTGAACTGATCTTCATGTGTAGTGGAGTGCTCCTCTGTGACTAGGTTTGAGTTCCAGTCCTTTTTTGAAGGTTGGATTTTCTTCAGCACAGTAAAGCAGGAAAACACACGTGTTGTTTCTCAGATGCAGCTTTGGAAATCTGTACGATTACATGATGTGTAGGTTGTTAACACTGAAGGATATCACCGTTCTTTTTGGTCTATAGTTGTGGTCTACACCATCAGACAGAGCAGTCTGGATCATGCTCTCTATCTGCCACATGGGGGCAGTACAGCCACAGTTTAGATAGTCTTCCATTCTCCATCTCATACATGTTTCTGTGTGTGTATGGGTGATTCAGTGACAGTGTTCCTGGTGACCGGGGCCCCAGCGTAAACATCGGTGTGTGTGTGTGTGTGTGTGTGGCCCTCAGCAGGGCCTGTCTGTCACCCAGCTTGTCCTGCACCTCATCAAGCTGAACGGCCACTTTGAAGTGTTGTTGCTGGATGCTGGGACTCTTCCCCTGCTCTGTCAACAGGAGGACAGAGAGAGAGGAGAGAGCCACATCCACACACACACACACACACACACACACACAGAGAGGGGATTCTTTTTGTTTAGACTGGGCTGCAGACATATGAGGTGACTCCAGTCCAGTGATCACAAGTGACGCCATGATTCTTTTCCCGGAAGTTTTTCCCTCATCACCGTGGTTTTCAATATTTTTCCTGAAATGTGCAAGTTACTCGCTGTGTGACTGTGTAATTCTACTTTATCCTTTTAAAATATAGCTATAATATCCCTCTAATATCTAATCAGGACTTATGATATGAGCTCATGCTGTACCTCGTTGCACATTTCATCTATAATAAATCTTAAACACTCCTTCAGGGACTTAGCGTGGCTGTGACATTTGTATAATAGCCTTCTAAAATTCCAGCTGGACTTTTTTTCAATACAATCCACTTCCAGTGGCCCATGTGATGCCCAGTGGGGGCGCTCTTGCTCTTCCGTCATGGCGCTGAGCAGAGGAGTGCGTACGTCGGTGAGCGTCTAGAGAGGTGGTGGTGGTGAGGAGGGGGGAGGGGGGGGGGGGGGGCTCTTCTTCACCGTTTGAAAGGAGGCAGAATAGAGCGCCAGGGAGTCCAGAGGTCCGAGTCGGGGGGCCCCTGAAACCCAGAGAGGAGGAGGAGAGAGGAGGTGCTGAAAGGGACTCGATACCGCCCCCCCCCGAAAAAGCCTGGAAGAATTGCGCTCCGTCAGTGCGCCCTGCCTGCCAGTCGGAGGATGGGGATTTTTTTTCCCCATTCATCCACGTCCCCTTTTTCCCTCCTCCTTCTCTCAAACAAGCCAGTCGGTCTGTCAATGTGCTGCGAGCATTAGGGCAAGTCAAACCAGTGGGATTTTGAGGCAGAGAGACGGATGAGATAACGAATGAAGCGCTTTCCTCTGGCGGAGCAGCGACACATCCAGCTCTCCAAATGATGCGCTACATCAGATAGGCGTCAATTTCCAACAGGGACTGATGCTCATAACTCGCATCTTCTTTTTTTTATATTTCTTCACAAGTTTCACGTTGGCCTTTGTGCGACGTTAGAGTGGAGGTGCTTTTCTAGCTCTTTGGTTTGTTTCTCCCTCAGTTTTCTTGTGTTGCGGCGTGAATTGATTCCTGGATTTATCATCGATTTGGATCCTGATTTTGTTTTTTTTGTCTTTTTGTTTTTTTTGTTTTTTTTTTGTTTTTTAATTTTCAACGAGTCCATTGCTGCAAGGATTTACAAGCCGTGTGTATTTTACAAAGAGGAGAATAAGGATTGTAATGCGCACTGACTAAGCCCACCGAGCATCAACATGTCTTTATGAGGATGGAGCCGTGGACACGAGTGACATCTTTTCCGTTTTAAACGCTTTACCTTCACAGTTTTTGGCCTGATCGCGACTGTTTCCCTCTCACAGACTGACAATATCTCTTTTCAGTCCAGCCTGATATGTTGGGAGGTAGATCTTCTAACGAGAAAACAAGGTAATGGGAGAGAAATCACACAGAGTCGGCACAGAGAACAAGGGAACATTGTTCGGAAAAAGACAATTAGGGCGCACCGAAAGGCAGCAGAAATAGCTTTTGGGTGGCGAAAAATTTCAGAAAATTCGATTCAGTGGAGTTATATTTGTGCCGAGGAGCAGTGATTTGCAAAAAAAAAAAAAAAGGAGGACTTATGACAAATTAACGGGAAAGTCATGGGATTGGCACCGAAATAGTACCGATCGTGGACGCGCAGAAAAGAAGAAGAAGAAAAAAAAACCCCGTCATTTTGGAGATCCAGACGCACGGATTGAACAAGTTTCTCCTGCACATTTGAGAGTGTGTTTTTGGGTCGATCCAGTATAATCTGATGCATTTGGGATCCATGAGGTTGTATACGGCAGGCTTTCACTCCACACTCTGACTGTCTCTACCTATAGCCTGATCGGCTGTAGTCGCACATCCATTGTTTTAAGAGTGTCCTTGCAACAGCATCGAAAGCAGAAAATATTGCCCATTTCAGTTAGATGGGGCTGCATATGCTGGGTGTCAGGGTTGAAATGGCGTGTCGAGGACATGGGAATGGATTGGGAATCCTGCTGGTATTCTTACTGGATTTACTGGGGACGACTGCCAGCAATATGGAGCCCATCTACTGGAATTCCCTGAACGAAAGGTAAGAGCAGTTCTCACTTGCAGACCTTTTTCAAATTTCACTGGCTGTCTAATTGCAGGTTTGAACTTGAAGCTTTCGAGTCCAGACCTGACAGAATAATTAGTTCAGCTGCGTGTCCGAAGTGTAAAATGCAACTTCTGCCGACAGGAGGGGATTATAGGAAACATTAAATGAATGCAAGTAGCTCTAAATGCACCACTAAGTGCCTTGTAGTAATGCAACATGAAATGCAAAACACCATAAAGTTGGATAATGGCAGTAATTCAGTGTGCAGGCCTACCGCAGGCACAATCCCTCCGAGGGCATTAACGATTTTTTTTTTTTAAATATTTTTTTATTAACGTTTCTATTTGGCCAATTCGTCGCACTCTCCTCACTCCGTGGTTATTGTTTGTGATCCAGCGGAAGGTGAAAACAGCGTCGCTCGATGAACGTACACACCGTGAGTTGGAGCGAACCGCTCTGCTCCACAGCTGCTCTGAATTTGCCACACTCACATTAATTATCGTGGATAATCCAGCTGTAGCTCTTCTTATTGGTAAAGTCGCTGTAAGCTGCAGGCGCAGAGATGGAGGCTGTGTGTAGGATAATAAAGACGTGTGTGATGCTCTAATTGCTGCTGCTGAATGACCTTGATTAAAGTCCAGGCCCTGGCCCGCGGGCCTCTCAAACACCCGAGTCTGCCCACTCGGCTACACTCATTTGCATTTTCTCTTGCCTCTGGAAAAGGTGTCAGGCATTAGCTGAGGAAATGTCATTTTAAACACCTCTAGGCCGTCCGGCCTTAACAACTGACACTACTTTTCTCACACCTCTGCCAATTTCCCTGTGTCTGAATAGGCTGCCTGGTTGTTGGGGGGGGGGGGGGGGGGGCTGAGAATAACAAGGCGTCTTGTATGGTGGTGAGGGGTGGCTCCTGACTACATTTGTGGGGACGAAGTGGAACAGTGATATTTTTCAGGCCATCAAATCCACTTGGAGGGAACACTGATCCCGAATAGCCCCTTTCTTATAGCTTTACCTACATTACTGACTTTATAATAAAAAAAATTTAAAAAAAAATCTAGAAAAGCAAATTGAAAGTCACTCAGGCGGACTCATGGCAGCCTACCAAACCTTCCCATCCCCAGGTCACACCCATGCCAGGAGCTTTTTCAGAGACTACCAGGTTTTCTATGCGTCCATGTGCTGTAGGCTATGGCCTGCGCGGTTTCTCCCCTCTCCACAGATGTGACTGTGCGTGGGCCCCCGCTGTGGAGCCAGGCATGAAGCCCTTAATGAGGGCTTTTTGTCAGCAGTGGGTGGATTCGCCCAACAGGGAGTAGAGTTGGACACGGGAGGGTAATTTTCAGTGAGAAGCTAACAGCCTGGGCTTTTGAGGCCTTACAGGTGATTCCACGCCATTGTCTCCTAATGGAGTTTAGAGTTAGGTGGGTGTCGGGGTTTAGTGAATGGGCCTGGCTGGCAATTAGAGGGGTGGTGGCTTTGACGCTAGACTCCACAGTCATTTTCACAGATTTGCTCACTCATATATTCAAAATACAAAGCCTATTGTATACTATGAAGCTTATTCATGAAGCTTACTATTCATAGTTAATCAGCTTAGTCATTCCTCCAGTTTATTTTCTTGGCCCCTTTACACACTTCCATGTACTTGTTTCTCCTCGCTCTCTACACAACAAGAGTGCCACTTTAGCTTCAGCTGCCTCAGGGCAAAATAGGTTTTGGCCCTGGGCTGAAATATGTTGAGAGCCCATGCATGTCCAAGCAGCGCACATCTTCCAAGGACGAGGTCCTGAGCCCACCCACATCTGGTTTGTTCTTCTAAAACGAGGCGAAGAGTAAGCAGAAGCAGTCGTCTGTATCAATCAGGCGCAGGGGCGCATGTATGGTTCACATCTTGTCTGTGTAGCAAATGGACTGTCACGTTGTTAACCTCTAGACCTCTGCTGGATGTACTGCTTTGAAGTTTAGACTGTCCACCTGCAGCTCCCCTCCACCTCTCCTCCCATCTTTCTTTCCGCCTCTGTGAGCAATCTCCCGCTCCTTCTCTTCCCCGCTCTCACCTCGCCTCTCTCTTTCACCGGTTTCACCCTCGGTCTTGTATTTTTTCCTTCTCTCATGCTGCCTCTATTTCTGCTCTCCTGTCCGTCCCCGCTTCCTCCTCCGTCCTCGTCCTTCTCTCCCGTCTTTTTCCTCCCTGTCACATTCTGTCTGTCTCTATCTCTGCCCCCCCACCCCACCCCACCCCCCCTTTCAGTGCGGTGAACAGACGTAGCAAATTGGAAACATGTGTCACATCCAGCCACTAATTATGGCGCTACAGCAGCCACTGACGCACCCAAAGATGTGTTAGGAGTGACAGAGGTGAGGGGGGGGGGAGAAGGCACCCATGGGTGTAGGGGTGGATACAGATGCCTCAGATTCTTACGCCTGTTTAATTCCTGGAATACATAACAAATAAAATGAGCGAGCCGACTTAAGTTACAGTAAATATAGTAGAAAAACGCTTACGGTCATCAAATGCTGCATCCACCCTTTTTATTGATTGCTCCATCAGTTGAAATTACTCCGGCCCGACAGAAAGAAAAGAGACAGAGGTGTTCAGGGAGGAATATAAACAGAGACAGGTGCCAGGAGGTGAAAGAGAAACAGAGGGAGCGGTAGAGAGAGCAGAGTGGGGGTAGAGATACTCCTAACCCTAAGTAAATCAATACCAGTTAAGACTCAAGTGCCAATACAGGTTCTGCTTGAGGAAGAGAGAACTGAACCAGAACGATCACCTTGGGAATAGCCCCCCCACCCTCCCCCCACCCCACACACAAATACATTATCCTTATCTCAGCATCTGCTATTATCGGCCTTACACAGCCGCCCTAATGAAAGATCGAATCTTACATTACTGCTCAGGGGTTTAGTGGGGGGTGAAGTAGAGTGGATGCTGGGGTGGCAGGTGACCCACACACTTGGGACCACACTGTAGGTCACACTGATGGGCACACACACCGAGAGAGAGAGAGAAGAGAGAGAAAAAGAATTCATGTGGAGAGGCTGTTGGCTTTGGTCACTCATCTGATCGCAGCATATGGAGTTTTGTAGTTTTTGGCCCTTTTGCAAGTTTGATTTCAGTGTCTGTTCTTAAGGCCAAACCCTCTCAGTCCCCCCCCCCCCCTCCCTCCGCTCTCCCTCTCTCTGTCTTTTCCTCTCTTTCCATACTTTAGTAAACGGCTGTAGATTATTGTAAACGGCTGCTGAGGGTGGGCGTCGTCTCGCTCGGCGCTCGCGGTGACTTGTAATACAACTATTCCCCCCCAAGATCCACATTAAAATTTAATCCCCCCTTCCCGTTTCTCAATAATTCATTAATCGCCGGCTAATTGGCGCCGGATAAAAGACTAGCTAACTAGGCTAAGTGTTTCGACTACAAAAAACCAGAGAAAAGACTCCAAAAAAAAAAAAAAACCCCAAAAAAAAAAAAAAAAAAAAAAAAAAATCACTGGAAATCTTCTTGGTGAGGGCTCTGTGGGACTGAGCACGGAGAGCGGAATAAGTGTTAGTAGGTCAAACAGGGTGTCGTATCAAAGGAGCAGCTTTTCAACACCCGTTTATTGATTGTTTGTATGTTTGAAACGCCACACCCAGTTTAACCAGGGTGAAATCCACCCAAACTGTAGGCCGCCCCCCCCACCCCCACCCCACTTCATGAATAATGCATGCGAACACCGAGGCTTTTTCTGGGCTGTGTGGACAAGTTAGCAGCAGCCTGGTAAGCCTACATGCATCCTTAGGGTAAATGATTAGAGAATATCCACTGGGTAATTTTATTTTAGGAGCGAGGAGTGTAAAAACAAGAGCAGGAATGTAGAGGAGAGAAGAATATGAACCATATTGCCTGAGCTGCCTGCTAAAAGGGAGCAGGCAGCAGTTCACAACCCCACCCCCACCCCTGCACGCCTCACCCTCACCCTCACCCCACCCCTCCCAAACACACACACCCCATCTCCCTCACTCTCTTCCTCTTCCTCCCCTCTTGTGTGTGTAACTTTACGAGCTGAGAGCAACAGGAGCTGTGAAAAGAGGTTTCAGCTGATGTGGCAGAATGGAAAGGCCAGGGGAAGGAGAGGGAGAAGAAGGGAGCCAATCTGGCCACAGGCTGCAGTCTTTTTCTCTCTCTGTCTGTCTTCGTCTCTGTCTTTCTCTGGGCACCGCAGGCCGGCAGATGTACACACAGGTATGCAGCCGGACTGTGGAATTACAGACATGCGAAAGAGACTGGTCCGTCGCAGCCGCGCGTTCTCCAACAGATGCCTGCGCGCATACGCGTAAATGAGCCTCGGGGGGCTCGACCTCCCCCTCCCATCTCTGTCGGACACATGTGTAAAGAGTGTGTGGTCCTAATGTATCTCCTTTGTTGCATGTGCAAGTGAGCATTGAACACACACTGCTACCGCTAGACGGTAAACAGATGAGGGCACATGTGTGCACATACACACACGGAGACACAGACACACACACACACACACAGGAGAGGTGAGGAAATTGGCAGGCGTAACGGACTGTTGTTCCACTCGGAATTCATTCATTATTTTATCACTCGATTATAAGTTTATTTGGCAGGGGCAGCGCACATTCATCAACATCATAACAGCTATAAAGTGGCGTTGTAAATATGCTGGGGTTGGCTAAAGAACTAATTTACTTCCCCAGTCCCTTGGGCTTTAGAAGTGACTTTGGGATTTTGGTAATTGTTAAAAGTGCTGATGATTAGGATGAAGGAGATTAAAAGCGTGTGGCTGGTTCGGAGCGTTGGAACGCATGCAGAAACAAGAAACTTTATTCCCTGGAAACATATGCAGAGCACACAGACGCACACATTCACTGAGGTGGTAGTGGTAACAGTAATNGCCCCCCCCACCCCCACCCCACTTCATGAATAATGCATGCGAACACCGAGGCTTTTTCTGGGCTGTGTGGACAAGTTAGCAGCAGCCTGGTAAGCC